AAGTGAATTAGTAGTATATATGAAATATAAAATTAATAGGGAAACCACAGAGACTTTACAAACAAGGTATGCTGAAGTTAGTTTTAAATATTGAAATTGTGAAGACTTCTGGGAAAATAGTGGAAAAGAGGAAGCCTCCACCAAGGAAAACTTGTTTTTGGGGGTGCTTGCCAGTGAAGTGCTGGGTTCTACTCACAACCAGCACAGACCATTCTTACTACACTACTCTCTGTCATGCTTTTAAGCCATGGCTGTGCTACCATAACTCTATTTCATAATATACCTGTGGTTTAACCTGAATGTCCATTTTCTTAATTTCATGCATTTCTTAATTTCATGTAATGCCTTACCTATTGATTCTCCTAGATTTAGTATCTTTAGATTCTTCATGGTTTAAAACATATATTTAAGTTTAAATCACTTCAAAGTTATATTACGCAAGAAAATAAATGCTTTCGGGAATTCTTTTTAAAATTTAGCAACATGTCTTCCTTTTGGGTGAAAATGGAATCCATCAATGGTATTCAAAGCGTCTATAATGATCTGCCCTGTATGAGACCATCTATTTCACATTCTCTAACAATGTGCCAACAACATTCAGGTTATTCTCTCCTTCATTTGGTAAGGTGCTACTTTTAGATTAAAATATGCTTTTACTCTACCTCAAACCAAAATGGTCCCTTAAAAGAGAAACTTAAATTTAAATTACACTTCAAATTATATTATTTAGTGTGAAGCTAGAATTACAAATGTAGAACAAACGCTGTAAAGCAAACATCCTTTCTCAGCAAATCTGTGCATGTCCACTTACAAAATTTGTCAGATTTCTTGTTCCATCTTGCTTCTTTATTGCTAATAACACAATACCACAAACTGGGAAAGATGGAAAGGAAAGAAAATCATTTTGGATAATGGTTCTAGTCTAATGCCAAGGGACGGCCTCCCGTGATGCTCTTTTTTCTGGCTCCTTTGATGGCAGGGAGGGCCTATTTATTCTTGTCAATCTCTGTTTTCTTAGAAATTTAATATTCTAATTCATGGGGTTACACCCTAATGACTTTATCTAATTCTATTTATTCCCCACTCTAAACACCATATCTGTATCATTCCCACTCTCTTAATGCTTTACAGTGGGGCTGGGGATTAAATTTCGTCATGTGTTTTCAGAGGATAAACCACATTCAAACCACAAGAAGTACCTTGGAAAATGTGCCTTGGAACGATTAATTTAAGAGCAGAATTTTTTTTTTTTTTTTGGTCTTTCAAATTTAACTTAAGTCAACTTTTTCTAACCCTAAATACACCATAGGACTGTCCTCACAATTTTTACCTTTGGGTTATTAAACAATCTTTAGTCGTTTTCTGGTGTTTCCTCCTCTCTCTATTTTCACTGGACACCTTTCATGATGAATTCCAGTAAAATGACAAAAGTGTTGTTTTTTGGATTATGAATTCCCACTTTGGAACTTCAGCCTTACTTTTAACTTCATACTTACAGATACAAAGAGTAGTTATGAAGTTTCAGGATACCTAATAGGTATCTCACACTCAATATGTGAAATCAAGCTCTTTTTTTTTTCTTATAAAACGTAATTTCTTAGTGTACTTTGTCGTCAATAGGTGGTAAACAGTGAGAGCCTGAACTTTTCCTCTAAATCAGTCAACATGCATGCCAATTTTCTCTTCAGCATCTCATGTGAACTGGAAAGAAGAAAAGATCCCCAAATTGGAAGGAAAAGTTCTCCATAGATGTTAACAGAAGGAATAATTCCCAAAGACTGGATGTTGTCCTATATGATTAGGAGCATGAGAAGTGTACCTGTTCTGAACACTTGTATTCATCCTCATACTGGAATTACAGGATAATCAGAAAAGAGGAAAAAATAATAGCCATCCATATTGGCAAAGAAGAAATAAAAGTATGTCTAGACTCAGATGATAGAATCTTCTATGTAGAATTCCTAGAAAATATTATAAGAACTATTCGAGTTAATAATAAAATTTAGCAAGGCTGTAAAGTACAAAATCAATTGTATTTCTGTACAATTTCAATGAATGGTGTATAAACAAAAGTCAGCCATCCATCCCATTTTACAATAGCACTAAGAGCAAAAGCTAACATCTGGAGGAGTGCTCTTTCTGAGATATTTCTGAACTCACCTTTTTACCTTACTCTTGTGTGAAAACCATGCAAAACTATTTTCAGTGCTAAATTGAAGTTCAAGTTTTCTTGTACATACTCTTAATCTTCTCTGAGACATTTTTCATATCCCTCTTATGTAAATCTTTACAAATTTTTATGCAACAATTTTTTCCTGAAACCCTTACCTGAACATCTGATTTCCAGATTTAATTATCTTTTTTTTTCTGTTTTCACATTTTCTTCCCAGTGTTTTAATTTTCTTATCTTTTGCTTCTTCATATTTCCAACTTCACAATGCATTTTATGATGGATTGAATCCTTCATAATGGTCAATACTGAATCTTTTCTTCATAATTCATAATCTTGCATAGAGTTAATAGGTGGAAATCACTCTAGAATTAATTTCTGCAGTCTTGTATATTTCTCTACAAACCTGTGCAAGTGATTTTGAGTGATTAAGTCTAATGAATCATTCATTTTACTAGAAAATGTGAGTTCTCTCCAAGTCATAGCTAGTTTGATTCCCTTTGCCTGCTTCTGGGGCTGATATGTAAAATGTGCTCAACATATGTGGAATATGCATCAAAGAATGAGTGAATACTATCTGTAGACTTCATTCACAACCTGATGATTAAGATTCACATGATGGTTCCAAAAATCAGTAATTTTATCAACATGGAAAAATTACCCATCTTCTTCATAAAGTTTGAATAAATAAGTATAAATTAGTAAAAATTAACTTATTATAAAGTAAAATAATAAGTTAGATTATACTGTTTATCACCCCATTACTACTAACTAATTTTGAAGTATTATTAAAGAAAAAGACAGTACTTTTTACCTAAGAAGTGTTCATTGATTATGAAATATTATTGAGGAAAAAATGTTTCAAAACTTTAAGACTAACTCAAGACAGCAGGTAACATTTACTAACAGAAGAAAATGGCCTCCATTCACACATAGAAAACAACTTTTGATTATTTGCAAACTACCTGGTAATAAGTTTGTGTGATACTTGATTAATTAAGTCTTCCCTACACAGGTTAAATGTCTCATTACTATGGAAAATGTTCTCATAAAAATTAATAACTTGTGCAATTTTAAAAATATGTACCTCACTATCAAATAATAAGTCTTATTGAAAATGAGTTTTTTAATGGTAAATGCATTATTCTCAGCCCCAAACTGTCAGATAAATAAGACTGAAAGTGTTCTCAATAAAATTTGCAAATGAGGATGTCTACCAGTTTGTAATGGATTTTTTTTTTAAGTAGGATAGGTATAATTTCAAATTTCAACAAGTTAAGAAAAATTGAAGGCAATTTGGAGAAAATCAACTTGAGTTTTTCAGTTAATGATTTGAAAATTGTTTTGAATGAGCCCAATTGACAAAGACATATTTTGCCAATTAGTAAGTGCATTACAGGTAGAAATGATTATTCAGCATAGTTTTGAATGTGGCCTTAAGCAAATATTAGCATCATAGTTTAATATGGAGCAATTGTGGTGCATGGTTGGAACACTTACATAATTGACTTTGATTATAATCGTCTCTCTGAATCTCACCTAAAAACTTTTCCTAATGAATAGATGGGGGAGTTAGAAAAATTAAAAATGGAAAAGCATAGCCTATTTTAAAAGGAAATTTTCTTTTTATTTATAGTCATATTAATCCCTTCTATTTTTTTATTATTATTCTAATTCCTTTCAGCTCTTAATTCAGGATAGAGGTAGTTATTTATATTTGAAGTTTAGAAATTCAGTGGTAGAAAAAAATGTTTTCCAGATGTCTGACTATCTACAATTTAAGGGTGTTACACTTGGTTTTAGAAATTGTTATATAAGAATATAGTG